GTTACAACAACAGTGGGTAGGTAGTCCAGAGAATAAGAAATTATTATCATCATCAGTAGCAACAGTAGCAGCGCGTCTTCGAAGACCTAAAAATGTCTATTGTGACTGAAACTGCCAAACATCGTCATCGTCATCGTATTCCTCTCAGTTCTGAACTCTCATCAATATAACTATTCCTGGCAACCCCCAAAAAACTTTAACGAGACGGCGGTGTCAGAAAAAAAAAATTTAAATACTATCTTTAATTAACTCTGTCGAAGTTCCTACACTGCGCGATACCTTTTCACTCAGCTGTCAACCTATCCTTGGTAAAGGTTACATCTTATTGCAGTACATTGTAACAGAGTGCATAAATAATAACCCCCAAAAAAAATGTTGCATTATTTTTAACCACTATTAACTTCCGCGCCATGTAAAAATAATTTAAATTTTAATCGTTATTTGCTTATCGTTTGGAATCCAAATAATTTCTAAGTTCAACATCCTATGAGGAAGAATTTCGAGAATGTATCCTTTTTTGAAAATTTTTGAGTATTGCATCCGAGTAAAAACAGCCCTATATTGTTTTTTTTTCAGGTCACGTCAGAGCAGCCGCAGGTACCGAAAACCAATTCGCCCTGTTTTGTATTTTTCACTATTATTATACATTTTTCGTTTTTTCATTTCCGTTTAAACCAACCGGCAAATCTGGCCCCGACCGTGTAATACGAATCTTCACGTCGAATCCATCACGGTAGGTAGGTAGATGCGCGATCCGGTGTAAACTATGTGTACATAATTTATATACAGGTATTTATTATATTGCGCGCACAACAACAAGACCTATACATTATAATCGTTATATATTTTTGTACCTACCCGTAATGGCATAGCCGGAAATAATTTAAATGTTTTCCAGGTCGGTTAAAAACATCCACAATCCACAACTCGGCCGGACTACGGTAATTAGCGTATGAATGTATTATTATTACTACTATATAAGTAAACGCGGGAAACCTTTTTTAGTTTTAATTTTTTTTCCCCTCGACCCGAATATAGAATATAAACCGAGTACTTAAAATCGGTGTATATACCTACACCACCGGCATTTAAACCGGAAATGACAAAAATTCCTTTGAGATTACACACACACACACAATGTACAGAGTGTAATGTAGCTTGGGCGAAGGGATTGGCCCTAGTTGCCTTTGCTAAAGGAAAAAATGCCCGGATTCAAGTGCAGTGGACCCGGCATTTTATATATACAGGACTCGAGTAGGTACCCTATAATACTTAACGAGTACCCTATCTCAAGGTGACCGGCCGTTTGGTTTTTTTTATTTTTCCTTGACCAATTATACCGAAAATCATGACTTGAGCACCGGTAAACGCGGGTCTGGCCGCTCTTGTTGTGGCGAAAAACGCATTTACAATATATTATAAATTATTCTATCCTAACATACACCTAGTAATATTCACCGCAATCGTTTCGGGTAAAGACTAATTATACCGTTTTGCAAGTCACTCGACAGGTAAGTAATTAAATCTTCCATAAACGGCGGTCCGTTAACCGCCGTTCGACCGACACCGCCGATTTGGTCAAGTCTTTGTCTACGGTTCGTTTTCAAGAACCAAGGAATACCTACTTACTATAATATACTTACTTATATTTGAAACTTCTATTTGATCAAGCTCGAGTAGTTTAGGAAAACTGTACAAAATTGAACCCTCAATAGAAAGCTTTTTCAAAAGGGGGGAATTTCAAAGTTTTTATTTTTGTTAGGTACTGATTTTTGTTACACTTACCATATAGGTAGAAATGTGAAATTTTGCACAAAGATAAGGTCTTATTGTGTAACTAAAGGGAAAAATCTAAAAGTTGCAATTTTCTCGAAATTAATGCCGCTTTAGGGAGTGTAGTTCTAAATGCATGATGTGACTCACGTGAAAATTGCTTGATTAGATTAGCACGGGTTTTTATGAATAAATCACACAGCAAGAACAACTTAAATTTAATAATTGAATAATTTTATGCGGTAAACAATGGATAATGTGTGGATAAGTGGATAAGAAATCAGTTTGACCAACTATAGGCAAAACAAAATATTTACGTTTTTTTGCAAAATTTATACAAACATATTATACAGAAATATATGGGCGACAAACGTGAATAAATAATAATTACTTTAGTAATATATTAATCGGGTTGATAAGATTAAATTAAAAATTGATAAGACTTATCAATAGCTGCTTAAAAGTTGATAACGTTTTCTCCGACAAAATGGCTACCTACCGATTGTGTTGTTTACATTACAGAGCCTTTATCGTTTATCGCGGCGTTGTGTATAATATATTATTATTGTGTATTTACAAGGTATAATACTTAAAAACGAAAAAAAACGCGTGTGTACACACAGGGCTATCCGAGTGTGTATTTATGTATTTTCATCAACCGCGTTTTTATTGCCCGCCATCGACGGACATTTATCTGGAAAACGGTTCTGTTTTTGTTTTATCTCCGACCGTAAATGGTGCTGCAAGGCGCGCATATTTTGGTTGGGGTTAAAAACTCGGTAAGTGTATAATAATATTATTATTGTAAAATAAATATTTATTATTTTTGACGGTACAAAAACTCACGTACATTTTCGGCGGCGGTTTCGAAGCAGCCGCGGTACGATAAATGATAATATGATAAGTATTCGGGGGGGGGGGGCGATGATTTATCGAATTTAAGAAAAAAATAACGCGAAAATTACATATTTTACACCAGCCGGGCTCGATTATTATTATTATTGTTGTTATCATCGTATGGTAGACGGTAGTAGCTGTAGTAGTGTATATATAATAATACGACGACGACGTCTGAAGAGAGAAAAATTGTATTATTATTATCATTATTGTTGTATATTATATATGTATTTTTTCGGTTTCCCATACATGTCGATAACGATGCGCCAACGTAAATCACATTGAAAAACGGCGGTCTGTCTTGTCTCGCGGTTTTCCCTTTTGCCCTGCTTAAGTGTGTGTTTTTCTTTCTTTCATTTTTTTTGGCAACCAGAAGCAGCAGCAGCAGTAGACCTTAATATATCTACTCGTATGATAATATAGAGTACAACCGTTTTCTTTTCTTGCAACCGCAAGCGCCGCCGGACCGACAGCACCGGCCCAACCAGTTTGTTGTGTATGTTATTATGTATGATAATCTACATAGCTGATGCTGCAGCCGATGTTACTTGTGGCTGCCAAACTGGTTACCTTCGGATTATATATATATATATATATTTATTTTTGTTATAAACAGAGACGGTGAAATAGGTGTATAAAAAAAATAAAACCTATTACATCTGGGCTGGCGCGTGTGTGAGCAATAAAAGTGTAAGAAAAAAAAACATCCAAAGTCGTAATAGGTACCTAAAGGTACTACTAATCGGTCACCGTCGTCTTATCTAGGCCGTTGCCGTCGCCGCCTCCGTTTGGTCTCCAAACAATAACAATAACCAACGCACAAAACGGTATAATATGTATTATGGCCAATAAAATCAGGTACTGGGTGAACGCAGTTGTGTACTTGGGAGATTGAAAGAGGTCTGTTTTCTAGACCAAAAAAAAAATGTGTCGACTGCTAAGGATAAGTTATTAAAGTTTATAATCTGGGACGGCAGCAAAGGGTTAAAAATAATACTACCCTTCCTAGCATCTTAAATTTTTTAACTTCAATAACTTTTAGTGTAATTATCCAAAATTGGTTATCGACCAGTTAAAATGTTCAGCAAATTATTCTCAATATAAACAATTAATTAAACATGTAAATGTTACCATTTCAGATTAAAAAGCTGACTAAGCTCTAGAAAATACTAAATAAGATAAAAATTTGAATATTGTCTAATATTATCATATTATTCTGCCTCCAAGAATGAAAAATTTCAAAATTGCAATTATTGGAATAGAAAATCATTGTCTTTTGGCTTAATGAATCAAACTGTATGATCACTCTTTAAATTTGACCCCAAGATCGGGTACTTGCACACCTGTTATCATCTTATCTGCATAGATGATGTCATGGTAATCGGATTGTGGCGGTCATTGATCAATCAATAACTTGTCGCCGTCTCCATAAACGGTCACACGTCTCACGAGCAAAGTCAAAATGTTATAGAATCCGGTACCCACGCCACGTATATTTATATCCAATTTTTAAGCATATATATATATATATATATATATATATATATAAATGTATCTAATTTTGACTAATCGTTTATGTCGGCACTGCACCCGGTATCGACTGCACGACAGCCGCCTGTAAAACGTCTTACGGTCGAGAAGAATATATATAAATATTTATTTTTTATTTTTTTTAATATAGGTGTATAATTTGAATTGACTTGACTCGGGACACCGCTGTGTAATCCGTTCGGTCTGTGATCGTGCAGCTCACACGTATAACCTATCCGATTAAATTTATGTGCTCAAATTAAAACGTACAAGTCGGGCGACGATTATAGACAGTACCTATACATATTGTAATAAAAAATATAGAGGTACACACTACACACACACACACACACAGGCCGTCGGATGTATATAATTTTGTTTTTCTCATTTCCGCGCCTCTAATGACTATATTAAAGTATATTCGGTTCTTATAGAGTAGTGCTGCGCCAATCCCACGGAATCGTGTACGGTTTGTTGTACCCGCTATACCTGCTGTTGCACACCTCTATCTCTGTAGGCACGCTCAATATTATCATAATAAATCATGTCCAGTTTCAATATTGTAATAATAACAGTACACAATAGTATAGTAACGCCAAACGCGCGACCTACTCAACAATAAAATATTTAATTGTAATTTCCAGTCGAGCGGTGTGATTTATATTGTACGGGGGGCGCGATAATTTCAAACGCCCCCACACCACAAAAAATTGCATATAGGACGAGCGACTTATCGTCCTATGTCTTAACATATCCATGACAATATAATTATGATAAATTGGATTGAACGGCAAACTTACATCGGCCGCCGGTTTTCCGCCTTCGGACACGCACTCCAGCTCTATCGGTCGGTCTTCGGTGGTTGTCATGAATTCGCCCTGAAGGATCCGCGGCTGCCCGGGCGGCACCATCACGCTGAGCACGGCTTTCCTGGACCTGATGGCCGGTTCGTCGTGAACGCCCACGCCCACCTGGCACTGGTATATGCCTTCATCGTCCAACGTCACCGGGTTCACTAACAAATTGTATTCTCCTAGAGAAAAAAAAAGAAGAAAATTGTAAAAAAAAATGTAAATACTTAAAAAAAACCCATCAGTGGTCTAATCGACCGAGGTCTCCAAAGAGTCAAAGAGTCAAAGTGTCAAACGGCTAACGTTTCGAACAATATAATTTGTTTACTCTCTGGTTAGATAACGCGAGGCGTCCACGTTGTCGTTTATCTTGCAAGGTTACCCAACAGGTAATTAAGACATAGCACTTATAATAAAGACATAAAATACATAATATTGGACCAACCAAAATTATATGGTTGATGTAGGGACACGATCAATTTATAGTTGGTCCAATTAAACGTATAGGCGTTCTAGTATTTTTCTTTTTTATTATTTAGTTGTTGCATAATATTAAATGTATTTTTTTCGCAGCAGATAATAGCCCATGTAAAATATGATGTGTAGGAAAGCTTTATGTCCAAAAGATTCAGCTTATAAACTATACTATAAATATCTACAATTTTTTTGAAAATCTCTCAGGACAGTCTTGATGTATAGAACTCGAGCTCTTGCGTTACAAGTTACATATATTTATCGTGGGTGGAAACTATCGCGCGTGTAAGTGTTATATGTACATAATAATATTATAAAACGTACCGTATCATATTATAATATACGTTGTGTACAGTATAATATATTGTATTTATACATAGGTATTTATAGGTTGTTAATTAGTGCGTTTGCCTGGAAGACGTCGGTGACCGGACAAATCGAACCGGTCCTCGGCGACGGGCGATTGCCATGGTCGCGGTAGCCGGTCGACCGGTGTGTGGGGCGGCCAGAGGGGAAGGCGACAAGGGGAATGAGAAGAAGTCTGGTGGTCGTCGCCGGACAGAAGAACACCTGCCACGCGCTGGTGTCGTCCGCCGAGGGTATAATACAATTATTATTATTATTACCTGAACAGTATCCACACGCAAACACACAGAGGGAACTCTGCGGTCGTGGAGGGGAGGGCCGAGGGGAGGAAACTGGATTTATTACTTAGTCGTGTGTAGGTAATAATAATAACATACGACGGACGACGAGAGCTGGTTGTGAGAAATAATAATATTAACGCGTATAAACGGGTTTATCGAACGTAATTTTTAATTTCTATTTTCTTTTCTATACAAACCGAAGAAACTGGAGCACCGTCAAGACCGCTGGAAACGGGTACATAGGTACCTCTAGATGTGGTATGTGTAATAAGTTAGTAAGTATACTACCTAACATAAATTATAATAATCGGTCTTTGAGAATTTCGACGGCCGGCAATAGTTATTAGGCATACTTTATATTTCGCCGGTCGCATATGCCATATATTATATTATGTGTATATTATCTATACATGTACATCCGTATAGGAAACATTAAAATATTAGGCCGCGGCCACCGTGGAAAATGGTACGCGACGCCCATCCGAATAGTAGATGTAAGTATAATATTGTAATATAGTTAATGAAAAATAATGGGGGTGGGGGGAATCGAAAGCCAAAATGCGAAGCAGATAAATCGATATTATTGTTACCACTCCGACGGTGGCATCTAATATTATTTCAGGGCTATTAACGGGCGATCGACATTCCCATGTTTGTGTAATAATAATTACAATAAGAAATGGCGGCAATTTAGAGGGGGGGGGGGTTCGAGGTACTGTTTGAGGAGGTTTCCCTTCCGCCAGTAGGTAGGCATATGTTATAACAGTATAAAATCGACGACTAGAGTTTATAGTGTTCAAATTATTTTAAAAAACACCGACGGATTACTGCAAAATAATTATAATAGGTTTTGCCGCACCGAGACGCCTGATCTAAATTACTTTTTTATTTTTATTTTTTTAGTGCGTTTAATCGCGTTAAACGCTGATAAATGATCGGCGCCTTAAAAATATAAACAACAGCAATCACGCTATACGACCACTACTACTAATTCCTCCTCCTCCTCCTGGTCTATCCCGAGGGAGAGACCGAATACTGCGAAATTATAGGTTGGGGCTCGTCATAATTAAACGAGCGGATTTCGGGGTTATATAGTTTTATATTGTATCGCGGTGCATTAAGAAATTAAAATAAATCCCCGGTGTGCCGTTGGAGAACGCGTACTTACAATACATTATTAGGCCCGCAGCTACGCCAAAAGAAAAAAATATACATATATAATATTCGCTGCGTACATAAGAATATCTCGAGAGTTTAAAAACAGTTGTAAAATATGATATTTTCTTGAGACGGGCGGTTGCGCTGTGCAGTTGCAGTCGATACAGAGCCTATTAGCGTTATTATCGACTTACATAGATTGTAGTATGGTTAAGGTAGCCGCTAGTATATAAAGAAACGAAACCCAAGAAGACAATGACGAAGAATCGGCGCAAACGAAGACAGTTAATTTATTCACCGACAAATTGGTGAAACGCAGTAAAGACAAAACAGAAGTTAAATGCCAACACAAACACTACAATAATAATTACAAAAACAGTAGTACACAACGGCTATTACAACGGCACGATCAGCTGTATCTTGTGGTTTATGCCATTTTAATGCGGCTCGTTTGGAAATAATGGGCTCGACGGCTTTTAAGGCGTTCTTCGTATACTACTGCAGAAGACGTCCAGTAACGTACACCATTATATTATATCAGCTAAGTATAAATATATTTATATTGTCTTGGTTTTATGGGACAAACGTTTATTGTTAGCGCCACGTTTATACTAATCGCTTTCGCTGTTAACAAGACTCGTTATACTATGATATATTGTTTTTTATTGTCGCAGGCCACAATAATTAGGTACAATTATTGTACACAAGAGGCAATATCATTAATACTATTTGGACGTGCAGTGAATAAACCGAAGATGTAAGAAAGCTTGTAGTAGAGAACATTGTTTGGTTGCTTCTGGGTTTTTTAGTTTAACTCTGCCTCGAAATTCGTCCGCGCTAACCTATTTTAAAGCTCATAGGTTTTACTTTTTCTCACCTTAGTTCAAATACGCCCGTGTACCGTCTTAACGTCCGACTACTCTCTCATCCCTTTTTCTTCTATCATATCAGTGTCAAGTGTGATTCCGACAAATGCTTTTAGAGTGTCACTGCTGTACTTATTGTACTTGCCTACGTATAAGCTACAGATTGTAGACAGTTGTATGCTCTGACGATGGTTACGTTGTTGCTGGTATAGCACCGCCGATTTTAAAATCAGTATCTCCCCTCTAATATTTTTCGGGTTTAAGTGTTAAAATATGTTAAATTGTTTTACAACATCCTTGTTCAATAAAACTATTATCCTCGTTAATGAAAATTCAAATTGAAATACCTGGGGTCCTGGCCTGTATCATTAGATACATAATATGTCTTTAATTTTTTCTTAAACATAATGTTTTTAACGTTATTAAAACATAATTTATGCAAATCCGGTTAGGATTGTCTATTTACTATGTTGTGTTGTTTTTCTCAAACCTTCCGAAACGCGTTTTCGAAATTATCTAATTTCAAATCATCATCGTGTATGATTATATATAATATATTATTAATCCGACGGATCGAAATATAAAAGTACGGTTATTCGGATTAAGACGGTGAGATGTGATGGTGAATTCGTTTTTATAAAGAAACCAGAAGTGTATAATATTATATTAAGCGACATAGCGTGTATAATATGGTATACTATACAGGTATATACGGTTATAGTGAAGCCTGTGTTGCATTTGAATAATATTATACAGGGTGATCCATCAAAAGCAAGACGATCATTTTAAAAATTAAATATTGTTTAATAAACATTTTCGCAACTCCCTTTCGGTCCCGAATTAAATTTAGAGAATATTTTGTTTAATACATAATACACATGTTTTTCTATTGAATTAAATCGTTATCACATTTTTATTATCGTTTTAAACAGACATAACGACATATGTCTTGTGTCAAACGGGCCACCCTGTATATAATATACAAACATCTACCGTGCGTACGGACTGGACGGACTGGAACCAGATTGACTCGTCTTTGGTGTACTCCAATACTTTAATATTAAAAAATATATTATATACATACATAATATAATAATATACTATATGATAGTCGAGTACGGATTATGGATCCGAGAAAGAGACGTCAGAGACAAACACATTTCGGGCGTTTAAAAGAAGAAATAAAAAAATCAATTGGTTCTGTGACCAAAAAAGACCACCGCTACCGTCTAACCCCCTCCCCCTCCCTCCCCTTCGTTCCCCTAGCCCAACAGAGAAATACAATAATAATAATACAATGTGTATACCGATCATACATAATAGTACACCTCTCTAACCGTAATTATTATTACCATCGTCATCAACGATAATAAAAAATTATACACGGTTATCTCGCCGTCTGCAAGATGTGTGATTATTGTTATTATTATTAAAATACATACAGATATATTATGATATGATATTGTATTGTATACAGGACTCGAGCCACCCCGGTGCGTTATTTATTTTGTTATTATTTTCCCATGGTCCCACTATGTACAAAAAAAAAAAATCAATATAATATTATCACGGTGAATGCATGGGTCTGGGCCGCGACAATCTGGTGTATGGTCTTGTAGAGCTGTTATAATATTGTCATATGGTACCTATGTGTAAAAGTATATAACATTTATTTTATTATGTATAATACGGTATAGTATTATGTTTTATACTTTTGGACATTGTGTATAATATTATGTCCTCGGCAAGGTGTGATGAACCTAGTGAAAAATGAAAATTCACTCATATTATTTTTTTTTTTAAATATTTCAACAATATTGATACCCATCCGCCATTTGCGGGACTAGGTCCTCTTCAGCTATCCTATTAAGCAATGTGTCTCTCACACGGGGCTCTGTGTTTGTTCCAACAAGCGACAAAAGTAGTGCATAATACTATACTATAGTATAATATAAGCTGACAAACCGAGACGAGCGAGTTCCAAGACATCCATTAGCTTAGCAAGTAGCAACTCCAAATAGAGGCGGACGTGAGATACCCTTTAGTCCGATTTATGAGAGGCAATCTCGTCGTGCTCGTCGACTAGGAAGGCGGCTGTGGCTAAGTATAGATCGGTTTATTTCGTCTGACTCAGATGTATAAGTAGATCAGCGTTCAGAGATGTGTACAAAAGTAGAACTGTGCTCTTGTAGAAGAAATACAAAAGATTTAAATCGGTCGTGAAACGATTGGATTTGGATCTATGCAGGTTTTCAGAGGGTCGCGAGTCTGTGTACACCTAAACTGTACCTACATGCGTTAACGAACAAAACTATACTTATAATTAATACTTGTCATAACGCGGTTGCAATTTGTATGTATAGGTACAGCGCGGGGTTTACCAGGAAAATCAATTAACCGGTATAATTGATATATTATACGATGCAAAACGCGACTATACTTTGAACTTTTCAAACGACAACTCATTTATGTACAAAAGTGTATAATATGTACCTACTCTGATGATAATCGAATCGGCGCAAATGGCTGGCTGCAGTGTGTGTACATGTTTTTCATGCACGGTTGTATAAAGCAACAGGTTCTCGGAAAAGCTCTTATAATTATTATTATTTTTTTTTTTATTAAAAGGCTAGAATCAATTTTGTTTGTTTTTTAATGCTGTGATTTTTTATTAACAAACACACACTCGATTATTAGCGTGCCCCCCCCCCCAGCTCCATCTCTCACACGATTGGTGGGTGGGAGGGGAGGGGTAGGTTACGTTAATTTTTATTAAAAAAAACTACCATTTCAACTTAAAAACGAACCCGGCGGCGGCTATAGTATATTATATTATGTGCGCTCATAAAAAATGTGTATTATACATCTATGCATGTTAAACGGCGTTCGATGGCGATTCGAGTAAATGGACTTTAGAGAGCGTTTGTGCAACATAAATCTACAATTCAGATTTGGTCGTATGTAAAAAAAAACATATATATATATATATAATATTGTCGACGGCCGAACCAACAAGTACCTCTATATTCAAAACGAGGTCGGTTTTTATTTTTTTAAATAATAATAATGCGCGTATTACAGTTTATTAAGACCGCATTATTGGCCGGTTTTTCGAACAGAACGGACGTAGCCCCAAGGGTATAGACTAGTATGTATTATATTATAATATTACATATACACCGGAGCACACCACACGCCTTAGGGGTTCCTACAAAATTCAATATCATATACACATAGATATAACACATGCACGGGATACCGGGTTCGCAACTTTCAATAGAAACCAATTTACTTGCTCGTCTAAATTCAAAACGACGTTCAAAAGAGTATACAAATATTTAGATAATATAGCAAAACCTCGCAATCGAATACCTAATAATAATAATAATATAATATTTACTCGGCAACTTCGCGGTGCTGGTATAGACTTATTTTAATTAGAATAGCTTTGGGCCAAGGCGGTTGAAAAACTATTAAGTACACTGAAATCTTTAGTGCTTAAATAGTAGGTACTCTTCGTTTGTAGAGTACGGTTATAGAGTAGAGCTGTTGATATTGTGCGCCGTTGTGGTTTGACCCAATTCGAAACTACCAAAAGGATGATAAACACCAACGGTTTTGTTTAAGTTACTTTGCTTTGAAGCAATTCGCCATTCGTTTAAAATATCCGATTGGATTTTGCCGATTGTCCTGCAATACGTTTTTAATGTTTTGTGAAAATAGCGATGTAAAAAAGAAAGAAAGTTGTTTTAATTTATTATGATCTGTTGCTTTTTAGAATTTTTCTTGTAGGTAGACAACTCTGAAAGCGAGTTCACCTAATCGCATAATATATTATATGCTCCACTAGAATTCAAGTAAGTATCACTATAAACCTCTTCAAAACACCACCTCTAGTGTTTTCCATTAGCACCACCTACTTGGTCCTTCTAGGTCAGCTTATTACAGACAGGGCTCGTGTATTTGTTTACAAAGCCGTTATGCGAATAGTGCCTTAAGTTTCCTATTACGCAATCAAACCATGTCCCTGATAGGTTTTCCCCAGTGTTACCTGTACAAATATTCATGTGCTCTACCAAAAGAAATCGGTCCAACGGTGAAAACAGCTTTCATAATATCTCCTTTTATTACCTTCAATTTGTAGGAAATTACATAGATTTGTTTTTCAATTCAGTATATCTAATTGATTTTTAATGTGGTGTACTGTAATGGTAAAAATTTTTCAACAGTCGCGACTATTTTTTATTCAATATTAAAAACAAAGATTTATATTCATCTGTATCGAAATAAGGTGTCTTCTTGCGGTTTTATAATAATAGGGGTAGGTATTGCTGTCTGTTCGCCGCAATGACCAAGTTAAACGCACTCTGCACGATTCAGTTTGCACGCTAGAAAATTGGCTTTGTGACGGATGCGGATGTTCTACGACTATGGAAAGTTAAATAAATACATTTGTTTAGGGATTAAAATGGCTTTAGTGGTATGTGAGAAGGAAATATGAAGGCATAATATGAGCATGGTCAATTCAGGTCGGGTGTACACTGGAATAAGTTAGTCAACCTCAGGTTTAAATTATAAATCCCGGCTTGGACGGCACTGGTCCATAGAGACGCCGTTCCCTATATTATATGGCCTGCATTTTACATTGGTTCGACGGAAGTTGCAATTTTCAGTTTGACCATTGTCATTAAAAATCAAAATAAAAGTGTCGTCAGCATAAAAATTATATTTTGACATCCTGCGGCCACAATTTTAAAACTCGACCAATTTATTTTTTTTTTTTAAAGTGGCTGCAACCTTCGCGAACCAATTTTTAGATGGAACCGCGCCTCTACAATACTACTTAAAAGAGTTTACTCAATTGATTATCTGTTATTATTATCACAACACCGTCGAAATGGACACCAAGTAAGCTGGGAATGAGAATACAACGAAATGAACGAATGGACACTATTATGTTGTGCCCCAAAGTTGGCAAATTAATAAACCTTACCGTCTAGGGGCTGTACCTGATTGGTTGCTGACATTTTTTCTTAGATCCCGAACGAGTCCGGAAGGGTTAAACTTCCCTAACCCCGTGCCCCCTCTAGTAATCCCCGACCCTACCGTACTGGTTTTATTTTTTGAGAATTTTTTTTTAATATAAAATATCATGACGTGTTTACCTCTGTCGTCGTTGCCGACCATCGAGTACCTCGGGTAACCGTGGTACGACAGGTTGCGGTTGGTGCCCAGCGCGAAATCGTCCTTGGTCCATTGCAGCTGTCCGGCTAGGTTGGTAACCCTGCACGGCAGAGACACGGTGCCGTTGACCAGCGCCTTAAGATCATCGGGTTCGGTGGCAAACGATTGCTGATAGCGTTGCCCATCGACCAACGTGGCGGCGCACAAGATCCCAATCGCCGCTATTAGTGATGATGTTGTTATCTTTAACCGTTTCATCGTCGTTGGATCATCTGCAACATAACAATAATAAATACATTTTTATATTTTCTATTATCACAATCGTGTTTACACGACACGCGCGACACACAAGCGACACGGGCAACAACAACAACAACGGTATGACAAAAATACAATATAATATGTTTTTGTAATGTAACGCCAGGCACACGCTAGATAAATATCAAAATTCCTCCAAGACGGTCAAATTGTATCCAACGATTGTCGGTGTACCGATTCTGGAATAATAATAATAATCTCTTATGTGTATTATATTCTGTAAGCGCGAGAGAGAGAGAGGAGTTATATACGGCGAGAAAAAAAACGCCTTCGGTATTTTAATTTTTTTTTTTTATCATCATCACGACACAGGGCGTGTACTTGTTGGGACCAAAGAGCTACCGGTATAAGCGCTTCTTGGTCGTTTGTCGTTATTATCGCATATCGTTACTGTACACACAATTAATATACACACTGTCACCGCGGCTGTTTGTATAATAATACAAAAAAAAAAAAATATATACAAATAAAATAATAATTATTATCGTTTGTCGCAGCGATGGATTCGCCAGCCCTACGCGGATAATCAACGGCGGACAATAAGGAGATGATGGGTTAAGATAACAAACAATGGCGGTGGCGACAAGTATATTATTATTTTTCTAATGGTCGGCACAAGTGATTGCTTCGGCGACGGTTATATCGCAATATGATTATAATTTAAACGATTCCGGTTTAAAGGTATTAGAAAATAGAGCTTATGGTGGTGCCTCGACGTCCGGAGAAAGAGAGATTTTTGGTATAATAATAATAACATAGGGCCGAGCTGTACTACCGGCTTGTAATGATCATCGTGGTCGTTGTTGTTGTTATTATTATTATTATTTTTTTTTTAGAATAATTTAAATACAGTAAAATATAGTCGGCGACTTGACCGGGTGTAAACACCGCGTTTACCGGGGTCGGTCGACTAACACCTTTCCACCTAGATAGACCGTTTACACGGTTATTTTTTATCGCTACTCCGGTTGTTGTTGTACTTGCGGTTTCTTTCCTTTTTTTTTGGGGGGGGGGGGTGCAGGGGAGGTTGTGGTTAAAAAAAAAACAAATTATATACTATGTACCAGACACGGTTGCGGTATACTGTACTGTGTGGCGTGTGTGTGTACCTTTAAACATGCGGTGGGAAGAGGGGAAGTCAATTTTCTCGATACAGGTGCGAAAGGGGTTACACGGCGAACGGTATAATTTGGGCGTGTGTAATTTTCGAATAATTTCCAAAACCGATAACCATCGAGAAATATCGGGTTGAAATCCAAAGACAAACACAGAGCTGTTGGTCACAACGGGTTTTTTGAAAACGATACACACACAAACCCTAATGATAACAGAGGGGCCATACCGGTAGTGTTAAACCGATTCGCTATCGAAACGCCTACTCTGGAATACTGTGTTATTATTGTTATTATTTTTTTAACACACACACACACACACGTCAAAGTATTCCCAAACAGCCGATAAGTCATCGTAATGAACACGGACGGTGTTAACGACCAAAAGTGCCAAAAAAACCGAGTCCCTGAGTGCGGGTTGATGTTAAACAGATGACACACACACACACATTGTCGACAGGGCTGATGATGCATGCCCGGACTCGGATCGAAACACCACCAATTACTATACACTATCGACGGTCCTACGCCTACATTGTCATATTAAGGCGATGATGGTATATTTATATACAATATATTATAATTGTGTTTGTCTATATTGAAACACACGACCTCAGAGCCAGGACCATCAGCACGAGGGTCGAGGGGGCCAAAATATGCACCGTAGAGTACAATTTTCTATGCGACGAATCGCCCGAAATTACTTAAATGTTATTCATCATGATCATCATGATGAAAAAAATGAAACAACGTTGTTAAAGTACAAAAAAAAACGAATTATACAAACCCGTATCGCCCGTCGCCCCTTTTGGGTAGAAAATTATAATATGACTGTAACATCATTGTATAATATAATGTCCAGCTGTTCTCAGAAACTGAGATAGCGATAATTTTCCAAAAGTTATCCGTTATGTTTGATTTTGGAAAAAAAAACACTTAAGAGTGAGGCGGAGTTAGAGCGTTATTTAAAAATGAAATAAAGTTGAATGTTGTAATAAATATTATTCTAAATAAATATGTTTACATATTATGGCAACACTGTTAATAACAAACAAATGATAAAACCGGCGGAAGTGGTGAATTTATAGTTAGATAGAGAATTAGATAATTTATAGAGGGAAATATTGGGTTTTTACCTACATGTCAACTTTTAAACAATGAAAATTTAGATTATTTTACAAAAATGTACATATTTAAAAAATGTAAAATAAAAATATTCCAAACATCAGTCATGAATATTAAATAAAATATTAAATATGAATGTTATAAGCATACACTATAAAAATATACATAAATACCGAGAAAAAATATCACTGTCTGTCATTATTTTTCTTTTCTAGTTACACGTTTTAGTAAAAAAAAAAACAAATAGGGTACAATTTGAATTTCCAGTTTTTCCAAAGGGGACCGTTGACGGTTTTGACACTGATAAACAACAACAATTTGCAATTATCCATTATCGTTATCCCGTCAAAAAATCTACAAGATCTGTGCGCCCGCCATAATAATATTATGATAATATTACACGATATTATATTAATGCCTCTGTTTTCCATTAGTGTTTTATATTTTATTCGCATCTACATATTTTGGCAGTTGACAATATTAATTGTGCGACAAATCTTGGAAATCTTGGTCATTTGTCATGTTGTCATTTTTATTCCTGTCGAATTTGTCGCTGTGTTGCAACTTTGAAATTCTTCCTTACCCTCCCCCCTGGACTCGGGAGCAGTCATTTCCCGTTACTGATAAAATTGTGTCATTATACAACACAACACAGTTGTCCGAAGCAAATGGTTTGGAAAAATAAAAATTAAAGCGATTCTTCCCTTGGCGCAATATTGACAAAGTAATTTATTTTTGTTTATTAAACCGATCGAGTCTCGCTGATATCGAGTGGAAAAAATACAATAACCGTTATTTACTGTTGGTTTTTTTTCCATATTTTCGAGTAGTACCTACCTATCGGCGTGTACCTAATTAATTTGATTTTGATTTGTCGTCGAACTCGACGACCGTCAGCCGAGCTTTTGTGATATTTTAATTAGCATCGACTTTATTAAAGTGTGACGTTATAACGAGAGGGTGACAAATTGATAGCCGTCCATTCTGTGTGTTGGCGTAAACCGAGATGGTTTTCCCGGGAAAAAGGGTATATGTAAATAATGATTATTTCACGGTAAAAGCAAACCGTCTTTGGCACGTCGCACACGTCCAACAGAATATATTACACTATATTATTATTTTACACCGCGCTCATCAATTAAAAAATTCCATATACAAATAATTAGACTACTACTGCAGTTGGGCTCGTGGAAAAATCCTATCCGGTGCAGTGGGCTCGCTGTAGGAAGGCAAGGAGATGCACTGTTCGTTTGATTTCTATGGTAATGCATTGCTGCTATGTTGTAATGTTATATTATTAATGTTATCATGAATTTGTATTATTGTAATATTTGTTTGTCTGGTCGTCTCGAACCATCCGCCGCAAAAAAAAAAAAATACCGAATACTATAATATTTTATACATACACTAATGTTATTATACGATGAGAGTACTTAGCATATAACAGACCTCTGTGGATAAGAGCTAAGCCGTAATAAAAAACATAATTTGAACGAATTACATCCGAGTAGAAGACGGTAATGTCTCAGACAGAGGTAGGTAAGTATAACGAGTTTTGCTTTTTATGTGTACATCCAATTTTTTGTCGTAGCGTGGGAGGGCAGCAAAGACGAAGCCGAGTGGAAATTTTATAATAATATTATACTTGATAAACAACATTTTTTTCTCGACTATTGGTGCATAGGAATATTAGTTAACTTTCTTTTTTTTTTCAAAGAAAACATACACCTTTACGAGAGGGCCCGTATAAAAGCAAAAAAAAGTATTATGATAAGTAATTTAGGTATATAAAGAAATTGTAAAAAAGATATTTCACTCAAAGAGAATAATAATACTATGCTAATGTATACGTAGAATCGAAGACGACAAAGCGACCAGACTTTTTTTTTTTCTTTATTATCTTTTATTTGAAAATATTTACAATCTGTATTAGCATAGGATACAATAAGTAAAATTTAAAGGCTAATTTGTAGCTTATAGTATATCCAGCCGTATAATATTTTGTCACTATTTGTGTAATAGCTATTTAAAAAAAACATATCTGTATAATTATTGCACAGAATGTCATATCAGGTTCTAACCTTACCACAGAACTTAAGTTTTAACTTGGCATAGCACCAATAAAGGTACCTACAAAATAAAGGTATTTTATGTATAACATTCAACGGCCAACCTAAAAAGTAGTATAATTTTTGATAATTAAAAATTAGTCCTTGTCAAGTTAAGGGTTAAAATACAAAATTGCCGAGGATCCGAAACATAGAGTTTTGGTCGGAAAAAAATCTGAACAAAAAATGCCAAAAATTTAAATTAAAAATGCCAAAATCTGGGAATTTTCGAAAATACTACATTATGTATATGCTTGCGTTAACAGTTAAAAAAAGTTAGTGCGAAAATAGTCAAGTGTCACGCGGCCAAGCAATTAACCGATGGTTTTTTTTTAAAATAATATTAATAAACGTTTGACAAGTATAGGTAGGTAGGTATATAACTCGAGCTCAATATTCGCGTGCGTTGTACACAACGATAATATATTATACATATATAATTATAATATATACATACATACCTACCTAATTCGATTACCGGTCGCATACCTATTATAAGCGTATATATATATATATATAAATATAAATATATTAATAGTTTAACGGCCAATAGAAACGACCGTGTATAATAATACTATTTATTTATTTATTTTAATTTTTCCACTTCCA